GGCCCAGAGGAGGCCACAAGCACACAAAATCCAAAGTGAGAAGCTTGAAGGGTTCAATTTGCACTTTAAAGAAAGTGCTCATCAGATACAAGCTCGTAGTTTTGCTGATGCAGCCGCTCCATTCCCACAGGCTTCCTGGGGATGAGGCGTCAGCTTGATAAATTAGCCGAGGGTCCAGGCCTCCTGCGGTTGGTGTTGAAACGCAATTTAATTTCCAATTAAGCCTGATTTCTGGGCCGAGGGACCTGCCGGCCTCGAGCTGGGAGGATCATTGCGAGCAGACCTAATGTTGTCGGTGATAGACGGCCTGCCTGTGAAGTGTGAGCTGCAGGAAGCTGGTCCTCAGACCCCGGGGGGTTCAACTGGGCAGGCATGTGCCCCACGGGCAGGTACCGCTTTTCCTCCGGAGCCAAGTTTATTCCAGTAGATTCAAGAAAGTTCAAAACAAAGTATATTCGTCTGCCTGTGGTGGGGATTTCTAAGAAGGAATCCAGCTGAAACAGATGGAGAGGGAGAGAGGCCAGACAGCCCGTGATGCTCCCAAGGAAGAGAGGCGGGGAGCTGCTAGGGAGAAGGGGGGAAGGAGGAAGTCCTCGGCTCCGGCAGAGAAGGGCCTGCCTGATCAGGCGGGACACACTTGCTCAGGAAGAACAAACCCTTGCAGAGCGTCTTCTATGCACCAGACGCTGCGCCCTGTGCCCCACGTTCCCTTACAGTGTCCAGTCCTCTCAGGGGCCTGTAGAGCCAATGCTGTTGCACCCATTTTCCAGCTGAGGAAACTGAGACTTGGAGAGGCGGCATAAACTGCCCAAGGTCACTGACAAGCCAGATGCCAACTCTCGGCTTTTCTGGGCGTCCCTCTCCGCAGGTTCCCTGTCTAGAGAAAATACAAACACATAGTTTAGGGCCAGAAGAACAAGGTCACATGAAGCCGAAACTTCCCTCCCCAGAAATGGGAGTAACAGGAGAGACAGCCTTTGAACTACGTTCTGAGAGTGACAGTAACGGATGGCTGGGTCAGCCTGGGGCGAGTGACCTGGTAAAGGGACAAACAAGGCTGCCTCCGTTGGACTTGCCCCCACCTTCCCTGCAGGTGTAAGATCTGAGAACTGGGCGTGATGGGCCCCGTGGCTAAGAGCCTCCCTTGGGCTCGGATCAGTGGGGCTCTGGCTTGTGGCTCAGGGAATTCCGGTTCCAGGGGTCGGAAAGAACCAACGGCGCATATACAACAGCCTTTAAAGATACGTGTGTGTGTGTGTGTGTGTTTCTAGGAACAGGACTTGTGGGCAGCAGGGTCACAGGAAAGTTACTTAGGGACCAAGAAGGCAGCATGTGGCCCAGTTTTGATTAGTGGCAGCGAAAGGTTCTAAAGCTACATGTGGATGGACACCTGCCAACTCCTGGGTGAATTCTATCTAGTGCAGGCTGTTAAACCGGCAGTTTGGGAACATGTGGAAAAGAAAGCAGGGGTAACTGAGATGGGCGGAGTCCCTGAGAAAAGTCACATCAGACCCGCCTCTCTTCTGAACAGAGTGACCAGTTTGGGGGGTGCTCTGGCCGGGGCAGGCCTGGGCTGGGGCTGAGGGAGGGTGGAATGTGGCTCATTGCAGCTGACACGTGACCTTGTCTTGGCATCGGAGTCCGTCAGGCTTTTCTCGGACACATCTGTTCGGGTTCCACCTCCATCTGCCGACTCTCCAGGGGCGTGGCTCCAGGGAGCCCCTCCCCACAAGCCCGGGCTCCGTGGGAGGGTATGTGGAGGCCTTCACCAGGCTCCCCACTCCAACCTTGCCCTGCCGGGCAGTTTCCACGTTGGATGGGGGGCAGAGACAAGGGCAGGAAGCACCGGGGTTCGAGAGTCGCGTGCAAGCTGTGGTCTCTGGGTGTGGGTCCCCACTCCGCCCTTGACTGGCTTCTGTCTGCTGCAAGTTAAATCCTTCCCCTTCGCCCCGTGCCTCGCCTTTGTAAGTGGAGAGAGTAATAGCAACCAAAAGGGTATTTGTGCTGCGCACGGAAAAGCTTAACCCAGATTCTGGCCTATCGGCGCTGAACAAATGTTAGCTCTTATTACTATCAGAGATGACAGATGATCGTACAGGGAGCGATTCGCTACACATGCCCCAAAATGGAAGTGGCCACCTCCCGGGGCCGTGAGTCATTCATCCGAAGAGATGGTGATACAGAGTGTCAGTTCAGGGGAATGTTGGAGGAAGGGTTCAAGCGCCAGATTAGATCTTTAAAGAACGACTGACCCGGGAGAATGTGAGTTTGCGTCTGAGTACGCGGAGCCAAGGGGGAGTGGACGAGCAGGGGCTCCGGAAATGACGGGGGCGGACTCGGTGCTTGCCTCCCTCGGCGGGGGCGGGGAGAGAGGGCCCGCCTTCCCGCTGCTGTGCTTAGCAAGCCGTTTGTGTCATTTTTCTTCGATGTGTGTCAGGAACTGGGGGGCTTGGTGTGTGGTGATGGAGGCTTCAGGAGGTTCCAGTCTCTCTGAGTCACCCTTCACTTGCAAGCCTGGTGATGAATCGCCCACTTCGCCTCACATTTGGGTGGGAGTTGCCTGCTTGGCACCTGTGCACACCCCTTCCCCTCCTCCCCAAGCCTGTCAGGAGCTGGCTGCTGAACATGTGCTTTATCTGGGGGGCAGCCAGGGCTGTGCAAATCCAGGAGGAAGCTGCGTTCCGCATTGGAGCTGCTGGATGGAGACGGGGAAGGCGCCTGTGGGTGGGAAGACGACCCTCGTAGCCTCCATCCGTGGGGGAGAGAACCAGGAGCCAGGAGGTGCTGGGAAACCGAAGCTCTCCTCCTGCCCCCCCCCCCGTGGGGATGCGATGGCGCCCTGTGAGCTCTTTGGGGGCCCCAGGGCAGGTGTGGGAGGAACAGAGAGACCGGTCTCGGGGTGCACGGAGCCAGCAGTTCTGAGACCTCCTGGTCTGAGTCCCGCCCGTCAGTCTTAGAACGCATGAACTCCAAGGGGGCTTGCTTTATGTGGGGTATAGCTCCTAATATTTGTTATTTTAGAGACGAAAAAGACAGCTTAATGTGAACGCATTTATTTTAAAATAATAAGCTCATTCCATGTTAACAAAATAACCTATTTTTATGAGAAACAATGATGCTTCCCAAAAAATGCGTTGAGAAAAGTGGCCTCGTCCTCTGTTTTGACCCCTCGCCACGCCTGGCCCACCAGAGGCAGCTGCAGCGTCACGCCTGCCTCCGCGCTCGGCCTGTTGAGGTGCCGCTCGCCACCCGAGGTGTGAACCGTGCCGCGCAGGTGAGTGGGGGGGGCGAGTGGAAAGGGCAGGTAGCATCTCAGGGTCGTCACAGAAAGGCTCTGACCTTGCAGGCCCCGCCCTCGGAGAACCAGGCTGGACTGCAGCGAGTGTCTGTCTTTCCGACCTGGTTTTGCTCCTCCTCTCGTCCCTCCACGGGAAAGGACGGTGGCTGGCGAGGTACAGGACAGCCTCGCCTCATTCACACGGTATCTTTGCAAATATTTCATGTAGCTCCAACGCCGGCCGAACGCAGGACGAATCCAAAGGACACTGGGTATTCTGCTCACCGGCCTGCACTGCCGGTTAGCCACGAATGAATTGCTGTACTTCCACACACCCGAGCAGTCTGGAAATCAGGAGAAATCTTGACTACATTGTTCATTTGGAGAGAGGACAGCCTCACTTCAATAAGTCCCAAGAATTAAGGCGTTGCGGCTGGTCTGTGCCACCTCTGCTGAGTTTGCACGGAGTGGCTTCTTCACTGTGAGGATGGGAGAGCTTCGTGATGGTGGGGAGGCGTCCAGAGCAGGGAGAGCGGCAAGAAGATGGGCCGCTCCTGGGAGGCGGGCGGTGCCCTGGCCCTCCCTGCCCGTCCTCTTGCCTCTGACCTGCGCCTGGGGTCTCAGTTCCCGGGGCGGGGGGAGGGGTGGACATGGGAGCGAGCGCCAGGGGTGCCTCTCCAGGTGTAAATCACTGACCCTGGAGAGGAAAAGTAAAAGGGTAATAAGGCACTCATTAGCGGGGTGACTTATTAAGAACTAATGAGCACTCTCTGCTCCCAGGCAGCCAGTATTCCCCAAAACATTTTTCTTCAACGTGTAAATGCCCTGTATCTCATGCTCATCCCGCTCATGGAGTTCGTGAGCAGCAGGCAGATGTGGACAGGAGGCAGGCGTTTGCCTCCAGTGAATGAAGGTCATGGTTAATACCGCAAGGGACCGCAGGCCCTGGGCTTCCCCAGGCACTAAACTTTCTAGAGGGACGTGCACCTTCCCCCCGCAGGGGCTGCTTGGGTGTTCTGAGTTTCTCTGTGTTTTAGCCCCAAACTCAGGTACGTGCAGCCCCTGTGCAAAGGAGCCCTGGAAAAGAGACTCGTGGTGGGGCTTTCTTTTTCTTTTTTATTTGTTACAATTGAACTTAATTCTTTGGGATAATTGCAGAGTCACAGGCGGCCGTAAGAAATAATGCCGAGAGATCCTACGTATCTTTTACCTCGTTTCCCCAATGGCAACTTCCGGCAGGAAGATAGTTCAACTGGGACTCCCTTAAAAGAGTGGGGGGACCAGCCTGCCAAGGAAGGGGCTCTGGGCAGCAGCACGTCACCCCCCTCGGAGGGAACGTCAGGCGAGAGCCTGGAGGGTGAGAAGGGGCGTTTCCCCTGTGTCCCAGGAAAGCTGCCTGGAGCAGTGACAGTGGGGGCACAGCCTCCTCCAGTTTTGCCCTTTGTACCCGGGAAGGGCTCCCCAGCCGAGCCAGCGCCCCCTGCATTTGCCCGCAGCGTCGGCCCCCGTCTGCACGGCCACCTCCCCCCACAGAGGGCTCTCCCATGGCCTCTTCCCTCCCTGACCGGGGCGCCTCAGCCCCCTCTTCCACCTGCCTGGGGCGGGGGGCTCACAGACTTTCCCCGAAACAGCATCTGCTGCTGATTTTCTGATTAAACACAACAAAACCAAACCTTCCCCTCGTTGAAAAGACCGAAGATAAAAAAGGAGATAAGGAAGAAAATGAAAATTAACCACCATCCCACTGGTAGTACTTTAATGCAGTATTTTAGTATATTTCCTGATAGTCTCATAATTTTTTTATGCATTCGTTAGCATTGGATGCTAACGGGTAGGCACTTAGTGTCCTAAAAATAAGACATATTCCGAATGTGCTCTGCATCAGGGAGCCGTAGTTTTCATTGTGAAACGCAGAGCAGGTTCGCCAAGGACAGCTTTCTGGACAGGACAGGACAGCTTTCTGGACAGGACAGGCCGGCCGTGGAGCCAGCCGTGAGAACACAGGCACAGAGGTCAGAGCCACCGTCATCTGGGGGGAGGGTTGGGGGGGTCAGTGGATCCGGGGCAGGGAATGGAGGCCAAAACCAGCCGGCCTGCGCTCTCCTAGGCACTAGGGAGCCACTGTACGTTCCTGAGCAGAAAGTGACTTAACGAAGGCCAGACACACAGTGGGAAACAGGTGGACTGTGTGTGGGGGGTGGGGAGTAGGAAGGCAGAGGAAGGGGGTGGGTGCACAGATGGGCACGGTCTGGGGTCCCCAGTGCCGGGGGCCTGAGCGGTGTCGTGGCGCGGCCGGGTCTACTTCTGAGCCGCCAGGATGGAGAGGGACTGGTTGAGCTTCACCATGGCGATAATGAGGAGGCCGCCAGTCAGCAGGAAGGTGGGCCAGAAGAGGGAGAAGAGGAGGGTCTGCGGCCCGTAGAGGCGCCGGTACAGGACTCTGGTCTCGTTCTCCTGCGGGGCCGAGAAGCAGGGGAACACCTGGTGCTCGTGGAATCGGCCTCTGACTCTCTCCACGTTGGCCCGGGCCAGCTGGTAGTTGTCCAGGCTGCCAGGGATGTAGGAGCACTGTGGGGACATTGAGAGCACCCGTGGGCCAGGAAGTCCTGTCTCTCAGGCCCTCGAACGAGTGTCTGTCAGCAGCAAAGGACAGTGCCTGCTCTGAATCGGGAGTCAGAACTGGGTGGGACACGCTAACACCCGGAGCCAGGGGCCCAGCTGGAGTCCAGAGCTCTACCTCCATTGCTGTGGAACTTTAGACAAATCACTCACCCTTTCCGAGCCTCGACAGCCTCATCTCTTAAATGGGTCACAAGCCGTACCTTTTCAGAGGATGTTATTATAGGAGGTCTTCAAGCTTAACTGTCAGATGAAACCAGTGAGTGGCAGTGAGTGACACAGGCCCAGTGGGCTCTTTGTGTGGATTCAGGGCAAGGTCAAGTGCATGGTTATCTGCAGGGCTCTTGCAGGGAAGGCCCTCAAGGGGTGTGGGCCAGGGAGAACTGTCAGGGAGTGGTGGGCCTGCTGGAGTAGAACGCGTCCGGACTGGCGGTCACCATCCATCTGGATGATGGACACCAGGGCATCCAGAAGACCTTTGCAGCCAGGCCTCTGACATTTCACCAGAAGCCAGAAAACCCGATTGTAATGTGAACGCTCACATTTTAAAGAATGTTGGCAAAAGTTCAAGTTGAAGAGCCTCTGTGGCCCAACCTGGTGTGAGCCAAACAAATTCGACACCGGGATTGAAAAGAAAGGGGGCGGGTGGGGGGGCGGTGTGTGGCGAAGAGCTTTGTGCAGGCGGATCGCAGGGCACATTCAATTCTGACACTGACTGTTGCCCTTCGGAGCCCCTGGCCTGAGCAGATGAGGCCCTGCGGCAGAGCTCCGCAGCGGAGCCTGTGGAAGACGTCTGTAAGTGCGATCCCTGCCCCCTAACCCCAGCCCCTCCGGCAGCCCACCTGGAAGGCTGGCCCTCTGAATCACTGAGGGTGGGCCCAGCATCAGGTGATTCCTTCATATTGAGAAGTTTTGAGACCACCGGACTAGACCAAGTTGCGTCCAAGCCCAGAGTGTGTAAACTATTGAGCCAGCTTCTCCCCAGGCCTCGGCTGCTCCCTGGATTTGAGGGAGGCCCCTCCCCCAAAGCTGCCTGCCCTGGCAGGGCTCAGCCCAGCAGAACAAAGGGTGGTTGCACCGCAGTTCTGACAGCCTGGGAAGGGAGGGAGCTGCATCCAGAAGTAGGTCACCAGGCAGCCAGGGAGCAGCTGAGGCTGGGGAGAAGCTGGCTCCTGAGGAGCCTGGTATGCAGCATTGCTGGGCACCACAGGGTCTCAGTAGCGGGTGGATTCAGAATCCTGAGCCAAGAGGGGCAAGCGCAAGCCTCCCCCGTGCCTCTGACTGTGACCTTGGGTAACCTTGCCTGCTGAGCAGTGTGTGTCTGTGGAGCCTGGCAGGCCTGCGTTCAACTACCAATTCCAGACTGTGTGACCGTGGCAAGTGCCACAGCTTCTCTGGGCCTTGGGACCTGGGTTTGTGAGGCTGCGGCCTGGTTGAACTGTCGTGTGGACTGAAAGAGATGATGCATATTAACACTTCGCACAGAGCCCGGCACATAGTAAGTGCTCAGTAAACGGGAGATGCTGTTGTCATTAATCATATTGTGACTTAATGATGATATTGCAACAATAGCTCCTTCTTTTCCTCTTTAAAGGGGGCCTTTCACATGACGCCCAGCTGGCCTGCAGCACTGGCCCCCTGCACCCTGGAGGTACCTCACCGTCCCACCCATGCAGCCGCCGGCTATCAGCACTGCCCCTGGTGATGCCTGGGTGCAACGGGAGGGAAGACGGAGCTGCCGTGGCTGTCAGCCAGCGCCGCCCTTCCTGGCCAGACATGCTGTTGACAGCTCATCTTGGGGGGGAGGCGGTGAGCCGGCCTCTGATTCCTCGGTGCTGGCAACCGTGGCCTCAGGGAGGCGGCCTGCATGCCAGCCGGCTCCCAGTCCCTGTCACACCAGTGATCACGTCTGTCTTTGAAAATGTGCTTCTCGCTCCTTGGGCTAAGTCAGGGCCACTGAATGCCAGGAAGAGGCAGGAGTCCCAGCGGTGGCTGACTCAGCGGGATCCGAGGCTCCTCCTCCAGCTGGTGGCGCTGAGTCATTGCGGTGATAAGGACGGGTCAGGCCGCCTTGCACTGTGCTGACCCCCTTCTCCAAGGCTCCCCGCCCCTGGCACTGTCAGGGGTCCCACTGTCCCCTTGGCACCCGGCCCCCTCCGGTCCCATCTGCCACCGAAGTCTGACTGCCAGCATCCATCCTGCCTGAGGCCCAGTCTTGTCCTGGGGCTGTGCCGTGGCCCCGCCCCGCTGCCCGGTCACTGACCCCCACACTGCTCTGCTCCGCTCTGCCGGTGCCCTGAGCCCTGTGAAGACTCCAGGTTGCTGCGGCAGTAATTCCCAACCTCAGAATCACTCGGAGGGCCCGGAGGCTCTGCGCCCGTCCCTCAGTGTGGGAGCCTGGCTTTGTTAAGCCTCCCTCCGGGGGTGGGGGTGGTTCTCGTGCACAGCCTGTGCTGAGGGGACCCCGCGTGTGTCATCCCATTGCAGTTCCACAGGTCGCCGGTCCTTGGCAGCGATGACAAGGCACACAGCCTGCGCAGTGCCAGAATGTCACCGGCACTTCCCTTCTTTACAGTTTTCTTTCGGTCCCTAGGGACCGGCAGAAGCTCCTCCTAGGAAACGGTGGACTTGGTTAGAAGGGTTCAGAGTTGCCACAACCCCCACTCTCTGTAACCGCCGGCACCGTGAGCGTCGTTTGGAGTGAGCTGTTCCTTCCGATGCGCATGCAAAGGAATCCATCTGCTGTGAGCCCGGGATGGTGAGACTCCAGTCCTCATGGAATCTGAGTTTCTTTGAAAACTGTCCAGCGGGTCGTGACGTCAGCACTGAGACCAGAAGGCCTTGGCCGCCGTGGCTCTGTAGGCAGGGTTAACCTCCACCTGCCCGGCAGCCGGGCCAGGGTGGGTTTCGGTAACGTGGTGCCTGTAGGTAGGAGCAGCCCCACCCTCAGTTCCCTTCCTGGGCAGGACTCCGGAGGCGGAACAAAGAATCCTGGTCGCACACAAACGCCCAACTCTGTGCTTTGTGAAAGGGGGCTTCCCGGCTTCCCTGACGGTGCTGTGTGTCTCGGGCCGGAATTCCGCACCCCCGTCTTTTTTCCTGCCGTGTTGTACTTGCTGTATCTCTCGGACATCCTTTGAAGACGGTCTTTTTAGCAAAACAGTTTCAGTGAAGTGTTTTTCTGTGATTTTTTAAATATGGGAATTAATAGGTGTAACATGTAGCTTTCCTCATTCAGGTTCTGCCTCTCTCAGAACAACAAGAACAACCACACACACACACACATTTTCGTTCTGCACTTGGGTAGAGCGGGGGTCTCCTGGGAACACACCTTCACTCACCTCTGCAGCCTGTCCCCGCTGCGCTCCGTCATGTGTCAGTGACTGTACACGTCTCAGGGTCCCTGTGTCCCCGGCCCTCCCCCCCAGCCTTGTCCTGTGCCCTGCCCTCGGTTCACACGCCCCTCCGCGTTCTTGTGGGTCCGGCACCTGCCTGGCATTTGAAAGCCTTACCCAGATGCCCTCCTGATTCCCTCACCTGCCTCCCTCCTTCCCCGTGGGCTGGACAAGGTCCCTCCCTACTGGGCATCATTCCCACGTGGGTCTTCTCCTCTTCAGTCTGAAGCCCCTCACACAGGACGCACCCCATGACTGTGGAATGACTCAGCGGGCAAAGGAGCAAATGATCGTGGGCCCGGGGCCGGAGGGACGCTGCTGGTAAGAAAGTACCCCGGGCGTTGGCTCGGCTGCAGCCCTGGGCCCTGGGTTCCTGGGGCGAAGGGTTCACGGGGTTTCCCTCGGGGGGGTCAGCTCTGGGCCTGGCCTCTCATCTGGCTCCTTTACAGAGTGAGTGACCGCTTTTTCGGTACGCTCTGTCCACCTGGCAGGAAGCTGGGCACGTTGTATGCGGTGCCCGACTTCACAAGAGCACTTGAGCAAAGGTGGAAACTGAGGCACAGAGGGGCTCTGTCAGCCACCCCAGGTCACACAGCCACTTTTAGTGGCACAGCAGGGATTCGAACTGAGGTCTGTCTGATCCTAACACAGAAGAGCTAGGCCTGACCGGACCTCGTGCTCTGGTCCCTGGTCAAGTGGGCTCATCTGTCTCGGCCTGCCCTGTCCAGAGAGGGGAGAGGGAGCCAGGTAGGGACAGGTCCACACGCCTGCCAGGGGTAAGGGGCCAGGTGCTCACGCCCCCATCAGTACCTGCTGGTTCTGGTCCCAAGTGTCCTCTGTGTGGTACAGCACGGCCCAGCGGCCCACGGCAGACACGTTGACCCACAGGCACGGGTACCGGGCCACCTTCTTGCCCTCCAGCTCCTCCTGGTCCCAGATCTTGGCCTCAATCAGGTGGCACATGGATTCCTGGGTCCACATGCTAGAGAGATCACACACACACACGTTTCAGAACTGGGTGGTGCAGGGCGCCCTGGGGCAGACCCGGGACCGGGCTGCCCATCGTGCCGTGAGCACCCAGCCACACGACCCAGAGTCCCTGGGCCCAGGGCAGGAGACGTAGACGCAGGATGTCCACGCTGCCGGCCTCTGGGACGGCACCATCCGAGCCACAGGCCAGAACCGTGAACCAGGACTTCGGAGGTGGGTGCGGCCCAGGCCCTGGTGGGTCGTGGAAGGAGCTGCGGTCATTCTGAGGAGCAGGCGGGCCCAAGCCCTGCTCCCACACGACCTTCACCTCACAGAGAGTGGGAGAAGCTCAGAAAGGTCACGTGACTTTTCCGAGGCCACACAGGACCCGAAGCCCGGTCTGGGCGGCTTCAGAATCCCTGCCCTTTCCCCTACAAAGCGCCCATGAAGGAGGCTTTGATTTGTGCTGGGTGGGGAGGCAGTGGGGGCAGTGCTTCGCCTGCAGGCACCGTTTGGGGGGGGGGCACAGGCTGCTCAGAGTCCCTCCAGTGCTGTGCAATGCGGGGAAGGCGCAGGCCCGGGAAGGGGAGGCAGGCAGACTCGTCAGCACATCGGCAGCAAATCAGTTGTGACCCATCTGTCAGTTGAGGGGCCGGCAGTCGCTGGGATGTGCCGGGAGGCAAGGGTCTGAGCTTTGTCCTAAGAAGAGGCTGAGGGAACTGAGGGTGTTTGTTCCAAATCGAGCGCGGATCAGGGACTTCCCAGCGCACCCTTTAAAAGCTCACCTGGTTGACACGTCAGGGAGCAAGGGCGTGAAACATTCCCTGAGATGCTAGAGCAGAGCTCCCAGATTTGGGCTCAAGGAGACACTTCCTGCTTATCAGAAAGTAGGTATGCACAGTGAGGTAGTGAGCTCCCCATCGCTTGAGCTATTCAACAGGAGGCTAGATGCCCACTGCTCAGGAGTTTTCGGGGGATTGTCAAACTGTGCAGATGAGCTATGAGATTCTGACTCTCTGATTCCCCCTGGGATGACACTCACACTGGAGCATTTGCCCCGACCCTGTGGTGTTTCCTATGGAAAGGATCTCCTGTGAATGTTGCCTACAAGTCCCAGAATTCCAGACCAGCAGGGCCTAATCCAGCCAACCATCCCTGCCCGTGAATCCTGGACTCTAAGAATGAGCATCGCCCAGATCTCTCTGCCTGGTGTGGAGGCCAAGGGGAAGGGTGGGAAGAAGTCTGGGGTTCCTCCCAGACCAGACGGTTGGTGGGGCAGGGGCTTGAGAATAGGGCAGGACGGGGTGGGGGGGGGTTGGGGGGGTCGGTACCTTTTCTGGTAGAGGGGCAGCACAGTGGTGCCCAGGATGTAGTAGGCGATGACCGCACACACCACCATGACCACACCCAGGCAAAGGGCTCTGGTCTCCCCCCGCTTCTGGGCCATCACCAGCTTCTTCCCCATGTCCACCGGCGACAGCGGTCATTTCTAGGGCCACAGAGACACAGACATGGGATCAGCACAGGGGACAGTTAGTGCACGGAAGGGAAGATGGGGGGAGGGGAGGGTGCTCAAAGGTTAATGTCGCCTCTATTTTTATATGGAGCCTTGCGCCCTCAGAGGGGTTTTCAGACCCCAAGTAAGCCCCCCGCCAGCTCTGAGAGGCAAGTGTTATCACGCCCATTCTACAGGTGAAGGACCTGCGTGGCTCAGACAGGTGAAGTGACTTGCCAAGGTCACGCTGTGTGATAGGCTCAATAACAGCCCCCAGATGCCCATGTTCTCAGCCCTGGACCGTGGGGCGGTTACTTTACTTGGCAAAGACTTTAAATTACAACACTTGAGGCTGGGCAATGACCCTGGATTATCCATAGAGACCCTGCATGTCCTTACAAGACGGAGGCAGACCGAGACTGGGACACGGCAGAGGAGCAGGTAAAGTGACCAGGGAGCCCGAGATGGAGGTGACGCCACCCTGGGCCAGGGGTTGCGGGCAGCCCCCAGAAGCAGAGGAGGCAGGGGACACGGACTGTCCCCTGGACTCCCCGCGGGGGCACAGCCCTGCTGACTCTGTGACTCCAGTCCTGCCGGCACCTTGCTGATTGGACACTTCTGGCCTCCAGAACTTCGTGCAAGTAGATTTCTGTGGTTTGCAGTGCCAGGTTCATGGTCGTTTGCTAAGGCAGCAACGGGAAAGTAGCATAGGAGATGAACGACTTCAGCAAGCGGCAGAGGCCGAACATCGTGCACTTTCTTCTGGGACACTTGTCTCAGGAAAACCGGGTGCATTTCACAGTCCTGCCCAGCAGCCCCCACGGCAGGCTGGCCGGGCCAGGGCAGCGGGCAGAGAGCCCAGGAGGTGGCCATGGTCAGTGTCCTGTGAGGGCCACCGCCCTCTTCGAGTGAGGGCAGAGGCATTCAGTGGCCTCAGCAACTGCTGCCTCATCTGGAGTCTCGAGCCCCCCTGGCCAGAGCAGGGTGCCGGGAAGTAGCTGGCACCTCTCTCCCTCCCTCCTCCTTCCAGAAGCAGGGCCCTCATTTGCCTCCTGGGACACTCCACCTCCCAGTGCAGGCGGGGACCAGCCCCCCCCCCCACTGGGTGCCCTGAACACCCCAGGGACGTGACTCATCATCACCTGAGAGTCACCTGCAGCTGCATGGCTGCCAGCTTCTGTCCCTTGTGCGGGTTTCCCATCTGTCCTGTGAGGTGCCCCATAGAGTTCGGGAAAACGTCTTGGTTGTTTCCGTTTGCTAAAGGTAACCATAGTTCCTGTCTGCCGAAGGTGCCGGGGCCTGGGCCCTTGATCCGAAATCCCCTGCGCTGGAGGGCACTTCAGCCAGAGGCCAGGAAGAACTTGGTCTTCCCTGCCAGGTCTTTAAAGTAATAAACACGTAATTTTTTTAATCCTGAGGATATGTTTATTGATTTCTTTTTTTTTTAGGGAGAGAGAGACAAATGTAGATGTGGAAGGAACATCAATCTGTTGCCTCTTGTACCCTAACGACCCTGTAACCTAGGTGTGCGCCCTGACCGGGGATCGAACTCTTGACCTTCTGGTGTACGGGATGACACGCCACCCGAGTTACCCGGCCAGGGCTTAACGTGTACTTTTTACGAGTTAGCGAGTGTCCAGGGGAGACTTTGGTCCAAGGGGGTTTCCAGCAGAGTGCTTCGTTTCTGCTTAGGCCGCTCTCCTACGCACTGGCTGTTTCAGGTGGCCCGGCAGACACCCTCTGCCCCTCACCCCAGCCCTGCCGTCCCCCCTCCCCGCCCCTCTCCGTGGGAGAGCCGGGGCCAGGCACCAAGGGTACAGCAACTCTGTCACTGCGTCCCAGGTGACTGACAGGGTCGACGCCCGGGGACAAGTCTCCCTCCCCTGCTGGGGGCACTGAGAAGTGGGGTCCCCTGCAGTCTGAGACGTCCCAGCGTCACCAGGGACTGTTTCCCCGGCTGCTCTCTGCTCTCAGCCCTCTCTCTGGTGGCGGCTCTAACAGCTGGCTCCTGACGGCCCGGGCGCTGAGTTCATGGAATGACTGGGGACCCAGAGCCCCCCACCTCCCAGCTGACCAGGGGGCGCCAGCAGTTCCAGTCCCCAGTGGTGGCAACGTCAGCCCCTCTGGAGCCCAGGATCCTGGCACACAGTCCCTCCGGGAAGGAGTCCCCACTGTCCCCTGTCCCTCCCTCCCTCCCTCCCTCCCTCTGGGAGCTCCCTCCTCTCCCCTCCAGCCCCAGGCCCCAAGCGGGAGACAGGGTACTCACAGTCGCCCCCGCGGCCCTGCCTCTCCAGGTCCTTCAGCAGGCAGACATTTCCTGTCTGCCCGCCCCCCAGCCTTCACCCCAAAGACGCCGCCTGAGCTCCAGAAGGAAGCCTGAACTCCCAGCCTGTTCGGTCTCCAGGGAAGCGGCCTTTGGTCCCCATCGGAGATAAGCCTCCATGCCCAAACATGGTCAAGTCTGAGTCTGAGCTGCCCTGGGCCCAAACTCTAGCAGGGTGTCCAGGGGAGACTTTGGTCCAAGGGGGTTTCCAGCAGAGTGCTTCGTTTCTGCTTAGGCCGCTCTCCTAAGCACTGGCTGTTTCAGGTGGCCCGGCAGACACCCTCTGCCCCTCACCCCAGCCCTGCCGTCCCCCCTCCCCGCCCCTCTCCGTGGGAGAGCCTTCTGGTTTGGGAGGAAGGGAGAGAATTGCGTTATGCTGGGAGGACACACAGGATTCGAGTGAGGATAAAAACTCAGCGGAGGCCCAGCCAAGGAGGACGGAGGGGGACAGAGAGGGACGGAGGGCATTTCCCACAGTCTCCTGGGAGACGGGTCTCAAACAACAACAGAGGAAAACTGGAAGCCGGGGAGGCCGTCCTGGTGCATTTGGCAACTCTCCTCCCTCGGTCCCTCTGAGCTGGCAGAGATGCGGGGATGAGATGTGGTTTTCCTTTTGTTGACATGTGGGAGGGAGGAGGAGTTGAAGCTGGAGGGGCGGTGTCAGCGGGGGGGGGGGGGGGTTGGGGGGGCTGGCGTACCCTACAGAGCAGCGAGACCCGCCCCTCCCGCCTTTGGCATTGGTGTGCTGTGTGGCCTGGGCAAGTCCTGGCACCTCTCTGAGCCCCAGTTTTCTCATCTCTGCTGTGGGGATTTTTAACTCACTTTGCTCAGGTTCAGTGATGAGGATGACAGATGGTGGGGATTTGGGGCAGGGAAAAGGAAACTTCCGTTTTAAAGACCAACCAGGCAGAAGCAGGGGACAGTCCCGGCCCCACAGTGGCTTCTAGCCCAGCGCAGGCCTGCCTGCCCCGGGCCCTCCCGAAGTCCGGTTTGGAGCCAGGCAGAGGTGCATTCCTATCAGCGAGACAAGTGAGCATCAGCATTTGCAGGCAAAACCGTGCTTCCAGATTTCTCTGTGTCCTCATCTGTAAAGTGCTTGTTGTAAGGATCGAAAATCAGCAAAAAACCCCACTAACTCCTCATCTTACCCAATGGCGAGGTAAAGGAGCCGAGTCTGGGCCTTGGCAGCCTGGAGGAGCTGGTCTACACTACCGCACTCTTGAGGGTCGGAGCCAAGTTCAAAGCCAGACCTTCCAGACGGCAAAGCCAGCGAAGCTCAGGCTGTTGCTGCTGAGCCTGGCCCTGCTCCGAGACATAAAAGCTCACCTCCGCTACACAGTCACCTGCCACCTGAGGTTCTGGGGTCACCCCGAGTGACCCCCAGGCCCCAGGGAGGTGGATGCAGCCCAGGCACGCCTGACAGAGGAGTCCCGCCGCTCCCTCACTGCTGCCGCTGCCGCTGCCAGGCAGCCAGCCCAGCGGACCGTGAAATGACACTCTGCAGCAGGAAGTGCCCTTCCCCTCCACCCTCCGCTAATTGAATCGTATTAACAGGAGAGTAAATTGTCCGTTTAATGGACATCAGAGCAAAGGAGGTCTCTGAAGGCCTTAGACCTTGCAGGCAGATTGACAGTGAGGGACCGAGGACCTGGAAAGAATCCCCACAGCAGTGGCTTTCCAAGGATGGCTCTTGGTCCATTCAGGAGCCGGAGAGCCCTCCTGGGGCCCCTGAAGTAGAACAGAACACTGGTCCTTCCTTCCGTTCCCTGGGAGAGTGCACGGAGCTGCACAAGGCCCCGGACGTGTGACCGGAGGGCTGCTTGCTCGTAATCCCCTAAACAAGCTACGAGGGGTACACGTGCGGAATTTATAAACGAACATTAGCGTTCTTCCCAGGGTGCTTTTCCTCTTGGAAGGTGGGAGCAGGCAGGGAAGGGGAGGAGGGAGGCAAGCTCTTCCGCTGCACAGAGTGTGCCCGAGCCCCGCGCTGTGGCGGGAACGTGGGTGCGCCGCGGGTCCCGCCGGCTGTGGGGCTGTGTGTCCCGGGCAGTTGTAGGGGGAGGGGAGGGAATAATGGTGCGGCACCAATAAAGGTCGGGGCTGTGCATTGGCGCAGGGTGTTGGCGTTCACAGAGCACCTTCCCTGACTGCAGCCTCCCAGCAGCCTCCTGGGGCCGCCAGTACTGCAGGCTCGCCCTAACCTGTTCAGGAAGAGACTTTTCTACCTGCTTTACCACGTGGGTGACTGACGTGCAGCGCGGTTATTAACCGAACTTCCCAAAGCAAGTCCCTTCACCTCACTGAGCCTCAGTTTGTCCATCTCTCGACTGGAGATGAGTGGACGGAGACCCTCGGTGTTTTTCGAGGAAGCAGAGATCCTGCACGCAGGGTGGCAGGTTGTGTTTCCCAAGCACGGCCACACCGACACGAGCCCCCTCCCACACGCGCCTTCCAGTTTGACAGCACCCCCCTCCCTCCAGAGTCGGCGTCCGCGCCCTCCCCCCTGCAGCCCGGGCAGAGCGTTGTAACTGCTTTGCCGGTACATGGAATGTGGTGGAAGCAGCAGCGGGATCTCCAAGGCCGAGCCCGAGATGGGGGCCCGGCTCTCACCAGGACGCCCCCACAGAGCCAGCCTCTCGAGTGTGGAGAGGCCAGGAGGCCACCGTGGGGTGTTCCAGCCAACGGCCCGGCTCAGTGACCGGCCGGCAGCCAGCACCTCCACCAGGCACCTGAGTGAGGAGCCTGCACGCGTCCAGCCTCCAGTCTTCATGTCCCCGCCCTGAGGCCGCAGACTCACGGAGCAGGGGCCGGCCAGCCCCCGTCCCCTGTGGGCTCTCCTGGTGCACGCACACGGATGCACGCACACGGATGCACGCACACACACACGCGCCGCAGTCCTCCCGGCCAGCCTCACGGAGGTCCTCTCGCTTCCCTTCTTCGCCCCCAGTCACTCCCCTGGCAGGTGGCGTGATGGGGCCTGGGTGCGGACTGTGCTTTGGGACTCCACCGCCCACCCCTGTGCCACCCCTCACCGACTCCCCCAGCCCCGGTTTCCCAGAGGACCGCTGAGCGTCCCTTTATGACGACATCTGCTTCAGTGCCCGACAAACCCCTCGCCTCGGTCCACAGCCCTGTCTGGACTGTGCGTCCGCTTATTTATTTAAACCCTTCTGAATCAATATCTATTCTCCGCTGCCACTTGGGATAATAAGTTCCATCCATCAAATTGGCAAGCGTGTCCTCAGCCCCGAGGAGGGTGTTTCACCGGCGGAGGGCCACGGGGCGTGGCTGTGCGTGGCCCTCAGTCTTTCCCACACATGGGAGGACCTACTGTGCAGAGGCTCTGACTGTGTCACTGCGCTGAGGTGGACCAGCCGTGGCCCTTCCCTCTGAGGAAGGAAGGATGGATTTTTTTTTTAACTGCAGAAAAGACACCATGGGGGAAAAAAGCCACACTTAAGGGAGAGAGAGTTATAAAGGGCAGAGGAAACCATAATGAGAGATTGTTCAGAAGCATTGAGAAGACCACAAAAAGAGGACACTTAGGGGTCAAGATGGGACTTGAGGAAGAACAGGACAAGGTGGCTCCCTGGGAGTGAAGGGACACCTGGGTCCTTTCTCCTGCGGTTCTTGGAGCTGTGTTTTCCCTTCACCTCATTTCCCTTCCTTCGCGACGAGGCATGTTAGCCTGCTGTGCTGCTCACATAACTGCAAGCAGCTTGAAATCCTCCTTGAAACGAGGAGGACCGTAAATGAGTGAAGAGCCGCTGTGCACCTGTGCGGTGAGGTCTGCTCCCGTCTGTTCCCCTGCAGAGTCTTCCCAGCTCACTGTGGAACAGTGAGGCCGTAGAGAAGTGTACGGAGATGACCCCACCCCTTGGAGGAACGTGGGGGGGGACACGGAGGGTGGGGGTCCTTCCCGGCACTCAAGAGGACGCGGCCCTCTCTCCAGCGGGCGCACCCTGCATCCCCACCTGCCGGTGGGCCCTCCCCTTCCCAGGCGCTCAGTCCTGGGGTCCTCGCCTCCCCCTGCGTCCCCTCAGCACTCTCCCTGCGTCCTCGGCCAGGTCAGCGTGCTGAGCAGCATCCTCAGAGCGCACTGTGCGGCTGGCCCCAGGCAGTTCCTCTCTCGCAGTTTCACATTGGTTCCCGTGCCTCCTCCACGCGCTGGGCTCCCCCCTGGGGGGCCAGCGCCCCACTATCTGGGGCAAGAAACTGTCCGGCGTCACATGACTCACACCTGAAGGAGCACGCGGAGGATCTTGGGTTTTACAATGGTCTGGTTTGAAGGGGAAAAAAAAAACTCTTGCTTTTAAAAAAGTTTTTTTTTTTACCACCTTGACCATTTTTAAGTGCACTGTTCAGTGGTGTTAACTAGATTCGCACTGTGGTTCAGCAGCTCCCTAGAACTTTTTCACGGGGCAAAACCGAAACTCTCAGCCCGAGAAACAACCCCCATCCCTCCCCGCCCCCGCAACCCCCACCCTCTTCCTGTGGCTGTGAGTCCGGGCTGCTGCAGACTCGCGGAGAAATGGGGTCGGGCAGGGTTGGTCCTTCTGTGTCTGGCTTATTTCACTTGGTGTAATATCCGCAAGGTTCGTTGCTGCTGCAGCATGCCGCCAGAGAGAGATCATGTGCTTTTTAGTGTAACAGGATATTGTGATCATTCTCCCACACCATAAAACACTTTTAATCAAAGCCCCACTGTTGGCTATGTAGCCATGGTGCTTGCTTGCTCGCTCAGTGGGACTCAGCGTCGCCCTCTGCTGGTCGGAGGGTCTGCTGCACCCCCACCCTCACCTGAACTTGTACCTGGTGTCATTTCTCAGGAAGGGACAGGTGTGAGGGAGACTGATCTGTAAGGATGCAGTTTGGGGACCAGATCCCAGGGCTGGACCCGAGAGAGCCGTGGAAGACGGTAGCAGGTTGGCCGAGTCTGATTTGAGCCCGGGAAAGACAGATGCTGAGACAGGGAGAATGGTCAATGGAAGCTGAGGGGTAGCTCGTGGGAATCAGAACAAAGGCAGTGCCACCTTGGGGCCCAGGTGACAAAGTGGTTCCTCCCACTTCTGCTTTCCCTGGCTCTGGGGTGATGGGCACCGAGGGCTCCCAGGGACACTGTGGCCCTGGGCGGAGGCCCCTGGGAAAGGCAGTCTGCATCACCACTTTCGGGGGCCGCAGGAGAGGCGGGGTGGGGTGAGCTGGAACTGGCTCACTGCAGCTCTGTGACAGCCCTTGCCCAGCTACTTGTTCAGCCTGGGAGCCGGCAGTCGG